CCCTGCTGTAGAGGATCTGCAGCAGAATGGTGACGTGCCGCCATTTTTTTTCCTTTTAGGCGGTTAAAATTGGTAAGAGTCCTGTCACGTTCCCCTTCTGCTAGATGGGCAGCTGTATAAATGGTTCCAATAACAAACAAATAAGCAAATAAAAAAACCAAGGATAGGAAAAACTGAACAAATATGGATTGTTTCTTTTTTTCTCAAACAGGTTCCGTTTTTCTGTTTTTTTTTTTAAACTGGGTGAAATCAGCAAGAGGTTTGCCAAGTTTCCCCTGCAAATGAAAACCTACAAATAAATGTCCTTCCCCCCCCCCATCCTCCAAAGACATGCCCACAGAAGGGAAAGCCACGCATACAAAAGGGGCAAGGCCTTAATCACAGCCACCATCTTGATTTTTTTGACCCCCCTGCAGATACCTCTGCCCAGGACACCAAACCCAGCCATTCCAACGCAGGAGATCAACAGAGAGCTAACACATATCACATTTAATGTTTCTCTATACAGTCGCATGGAATAGTCATTGTTCGCACAGAATTTGCTTTGCAAGATTGGAAGGTATCATTTCTATTTACACAGAGCATCTTAGTGGGCTGGGAAGAATGAGTCTACTCTAGATGAACTCTAGTTCCTCAGCCAGCTGTTTTTTGAGCCATGGCATAACTCTGAAGAGGTTGATGTGATAATCCCGGGCAAAGGAGGGGCTCCCTTCCTGGAATTCGTAGGGGTTCTCACATGTCACAGAACGGCCTTTGCAGACATCAACTACACCCCAGCTGATCACGCCGACCTATCGAAGGAAGAGATGGAAAGCAGTGAGAAACCTGATGCTGGGGTCTGACAGGCTTCGCTGAAAGAAACCATCATCAGATAAGCAAAAAACTAATAGAAGAGAATATATGGAGCTCAGGGTTGAACTGTAGAGTATCCCAAGGGCTCTACAGTGATTCAGAGAATCCCAAGGACTCTACGAATAAAAAACTCTACAAACAAAGGGCTAACACATATCACATTGAACGTTTTTCTATACAGTTGTATTTAATAGCCATTGTTAACACAGAATGTACTTTACAAGATTTGAAGGTATCATTTCACTCTACAAACAAAAAACTCAACAACTGGAAAACCCCAAGGACTCTAGAGTAATTCAGAGAACGCCAAGGACTCTACAAACAAAAAACTCTTAAGTTCCTTTGTTTTATCAGAGATGATGAAATTATGGCTGCATACTGACATTTCCACTCAATGTGAACCCTCTGTGATAATTTTTGGAATTGGGGGACATGCGGTCGACTTATACATGGCATAAAGATAATAAGAATTTCATCACGGACAAGACGTGAAGCTGATAGGTTTAATCAGGGCAATTAAGACACATCTGTTGTGGTCTAGCAGTTTAGCTTAGGTAACCACTCACCTGAATATAACGCAACCTTTTCTGAATAATGAGAGGACCACCAGAATCACCTGCAAGCCAAAGGGAAAAGGGATTTAATCAAGGGGCCGATTGGGCATGGAGAGATCAGATCTGAAACCAACATGGGAATCCGACTCATGGGAAAATTTCAGGCAAACTGTATCAAAATGCAGGTCTGCAGTGACATGGTTCTAATTTCCTAAACAGGATAACATAAAAGCTAGAGGAAAGGGGTGGATTGGTGATACTCTAAAGCTTGTTAATGATCACATTTGATGGGTTATGAAGCTGCATAAACCAACTCAACCAGCACGACTATGAATTTTTGGGAAGTCTGAGTCTCATTAGAACTTCTCCCAGAAACAGTCCTCTCCAGATTTTCCTAGATAACTGGAACAGTGTTTCTCAATTGTGACAACTTTAAGATGTGTGGACTTCAACTCCCAGACTGGAGAATTCTGGGAGTTGAAGTCCATACATCTTAAAGTTGCCAAGCTTGAGAAAGACTGAACTGGAATATTACAGTATATGGATGTGTCTGTCTATATGATACAAAGAACCATACATAACTTACCATGGAAAGACGCTGCAAATATGAACATTTCTCCCAGATTGTCTGCCGCATGGATGGCTTGGAATTCACCCAGATGCTACTTCCTGTCATTCAAGCTGACCCATCCCTATAAGCTGGTGCAATCTGAGACTAACCAGCCTGGATCAGAAAAGCTGCTTCTAAATTCTTGGGCATAGTTATATTAACAAACTGTTGCATTCACACTGAAAGGCCTGGAAATATATATTCAGACAGGAATATATCCGTTAACACCTGCTGTTGTGTTCATGTGAATGTTACAGGTACAAACTGCAATTTTCTATTCCCAGGTATCTCTACGTTGCAAGTGGGGCACAGAGCCAAAAGGAGCAGAAGGCCATTCTCCTAGATCTTTGCCAACAAAGGATCTCTTTGCCTTTTCTATTCTTAATCATCTTGAATAAACAATTCCCTTTCTTCCTGCAAATGTTGCTCTACTGTGACTTGCAAGATCGGTTCATAGGAAGCTTTGGAGGTGACTTGGTTTCTAGAGGCCTACCGGGATAAGAAACCAGGAGGCAGAGAGGACCATTATTCCTCACCTTTGCAAGTGTTGGGGTCCAGCACCGGTTCCTGTCCCCCTGTACAGAGAAATCTGTCAGTGACTACGTCTTTGATGTTAGTAATGTTTTTGTAGAATTTGGCATTCCTAGCATCTTGTTCACAGGCCATTTTCTGAGGGGGAAAAAAAGGAAAGGAAATATTAAAACAGAACATATCCCTAATGCAGGGTTTCTGAACCTCAGCAACTTTAAGCCGTGTGGACTCCAACCATGGCTGGCTGGGGAATTCTGGGAGTTGAAGTCACACGGCTTAAAGTTGCTGAGGTTGAGAAACCCTGCACTGAAGACTATCATAAAAGAACATTATACACTCATCACATTTAGCCATACCTTGATGGACTGGGGATTGTGTGAATGCAATCTTTAATAAGTCCGTTTAGGGTAAGCACAGAGGTGGGTAGCCTACAGTCCCAGAAGCAGACCCAGCTCCCAAGGGCTGGGATTATAGATCTCAGAGCCCCCTCTGTCTATTATTGACGTAACAGCATCTTCCCACCATTTGGAAACCACAACCATCAAGCGATTCTGAGGTAACTCTTAAATTAGGCTTATTAGTGAAAACTCTCCAAATTCCCCAGAAAAGAACAGCTTGCTCCATGGGATCATGATCCCACTGCCCCCCCCCCATGGCCCTCAGCCCTTGCAAATGTTAAGGGATGCTCTTGGCCATCCTTGCTTTAGCATCCTGTTAGAACCAAGGTGTCGGTCATTTCAAACCAATTATCAATTTGCAAAGAATGACTTTAATTAGGCAGGTGAGGCCAGGCTATATAATACTATGGGGTGCTGATTGATTGATTGATTGAT